CCTGTCTGTCAAGAGAGCAATTGTGTGAATACATCATGATTGGCCCAATGTCAGGTTACGGATTCGACTGCAGTTTCATTGTTGTTGCACGTAACCCCCCAAAAAATATATTAGCAGAGTTCTCATCGAATAAAAAATGCATCAATTGGCGCCCTTTCCCGAAATTGCAACTTTTCAATTTATCAAAATATTGGCAGTTGAAATGTGGCATTTCATTATTTCCCGGAAGTTTCAATTGATGGCAGTTTTGGTCTTATGACCTTAAGTTCGTAATGCTGAATACGTCACGAAATGAAATACGACAATGTACGACAATTCTTTAGGGTTAGACGGTTGTTCAATTTCTAATAAAACATGTCTAAAATAAATAAGGGTTAGCCTTCTGGTTGTATTTAGGCAACTTCTCTTTATGCAGTATTTACCTTTGCATGACGTTGGTTCCGACGCTCCCGGTTCGTCTGTTGTCGTACCTCCCGGGCATCGAATACAGAAATATTGAGTGAAGTCCGGTTGATAAGTTCCAATTGGACAAAGTTCACAAATATGTTTGCCTATATTATAAAAGTAACCCGGCATACATCGTTCTGAAATAAAAAAAAAAAAAAAATCCGTGGTTTATTGATATTATTATACATTAGTCACGGTAACGACATAAGTTACAGCTTGCCGTAATTTTGCGGTATTGATATACGGGGTATTTTCATCCCACCATATTAGGAAATGCGTATTCCAAATATGGAATGATTACGAGCGTAAGCGTTCTCTAATAACAAAAACAAACATGGCTGCCACCAGGGTTTGATCGGTCTCCACACAAAGAAGTTCGCTGATTTTGCTCTAAACGTTTTGGATGTCGGAATTCCCATAATGTATCCTTGGAAGGAAAAGATGTATAATAGTAAGGTTATTACGAGAATACCTGCGCGTCGGTCGATACTTCCGCTGCACTGTCCTCGTTCATACTTCGAGGTATCCTCGTAATAACCTTATATTATTCACCTTCATGTATTCGTCGATGTTTAGCATATAGATTGGTAGTTTATTTAACACCGTACCTTTCACCGTGCATTCAGAAAAGCTAGCACTTGCCGTGCCTTTCGTTGTTAACCCATCTCCACACCGAAAGCACGATGTCCTGCCCCATTCAGGTTGAAATGATCCCTTAGTACATGGCTGACAGGGTTTAAACCCATTAATCGAATGTTCACCTGGGTTGCACTGACCTGAAAAAAGACAAATTATTTGTTTCGAATGTAACTGAGAGTCATCAACGTATTACAGACAACACAACGAAATTATACTTAAATCTGACTGCATACAATTTAAAACCTATCATTCGACGCATTTCTGCATCTTATTCGAGCTAAGTACTACTGTATTTGTGAAAGGCACCTATCGTGTTTATTTCATCCAGTATTGGTGATATAATGTTGGTTGTGTTAATACAAAGCTGACTCACCGCCACATTCTGTGAGATTACGCGCACCTATTACTCCACTCCCTTGCTTTGGACATTTGTTACACAATAGTTGACCCTCTTTGTCTTGATACGACCCAGCAGGACACGGTATGCATTGTCCTTCATCAATGTCATAAAAGGTACCAACGCTGCAAGCAACTGTTGAACAAGATGTAATTGCACATTTTCTTAAGCAATAACGCCAGATTTGGAGTAATGGTTAGTGGGGTTCATGCTTACGGTTTACACGGACAAACATATTGGAAAGAGCTATCTGTGGAATACTGTTATGTTGTGATAACTGGATAGTATAACTTTACAGTATATGTAACATACACGTTTGGATTACATAATAAGGTCGTGACGTCGGGACGTGCTTCGAATTAAACATCAGCACCAAGGTATAAACATTAACTAATCGAAAAGCGATTACGAATACTAGACATAACCACGTTCGGTAGCATGACGTAATGTACAACTGAACAAGCCAAGACATATCATGTTGTGTTTTCACACAAGTGCGGCGTGGCTAGGCTCATTACTTGTGTTCATTTGTATACTGAGAAGATCCTGGGTAGTCTGACGTGACAAACACATTGATAATAAGTCAAGAACTGTATGGTATTTAGTACGACTTAGACTTATACATTTAAACGTTAATATGCGTGTGTGTATATAGACGAACATAAATAGACATTGGGAAGAAATAGAATGTGAACGTGTAAGCGAACTATGCATGACTTATCTAATATTACATACAAGCTCCAATAAGTTTACTTTTAGGTTTGTGTTAGAATCGTGTAAATTGCTCTCCGAGCCCTCAGGGGTTTATGGTTAGCTGAATCTCGGTTCAATCAAGCAGTGTTCATGTAAAGGTAATACCTGACTTCCCTGGTTGCAAATAGGGAGTTAAGGAGAGTATATGTCATGCATAACCAACAAGCTATTGAGTCTGGATACGTATTTATTATTTTGAGATTGTCTTGCTGTGTATTAATAAGAGAAAGGATCTGTGCAGATGGGCTTTATCCGCCCACAACATGTTATAACATCCTTATGAATGTGTATATGTGAGGTATGTATGTAGAATATGTAATGAAACGATTAATCTCAACAAAAAACATTATGGTGGTGTATCATTGACCTGACCTGCGGAAATTAGTTCTATTCCCTTTCACTTGTACTTTAACAATGATCAAATTATAGATTAATTATACATACCACATGTTGATTCGACGAGTATCTGTCCCAATTTGCATAGCGTTTGAAAATCTGGTGTTATCAAAGATCTTCTCGTTACTTCATATTCACCCCCGGAGAATCTCACAAAGAAATTCTCCTTATTGATAGACCTTCGTAATGTTTTAATAGTTCGTTTTAGATTTCGATTGGTTCTTTTTTTCACGCAGTTTACATCGCATTTATCTGAAGAAGAAAACAGATTATTGTTTTCAATATGACAAACTACGGTACCAGTCAAGTCAGATTCGAGTTGAGCAGGATAGGAGTAAGAGCGTTACCTGTTGGATTCTCGGGATTCATTTGTATCTCGAACTCGGCTGTAATGACGGCTTTAGACTTTTTCCTGGATCTTTTAGTCCTTCGCCTGGACCCACATTGTAAATTAACAAAACTAACATGACATAAATCAGAACATGGATATTTTCTCTCCTCTGAAAGAAAAGGAACATATTTGTTTAACAGGGTTATATATATGATAGCTCTGATATGTTTTTGTTGTGTTAACATTTTAATAATATAGTTGGAGTGATTAGAAATTACACAATCTTTTCCAATGGCGGAATCGTTGTAGATAATATTGAGGATAAAGTACACAATCCAGCAGATTAGGTCCAACTACTCATATTATGCGTTCTCAGTATTTGGGGGAACACATGGTACATGAAGATCCGCTATTAAAATTGTGTTAATATTGTTTTAAAGGGAAGTGGTCATCGCTCGCCGCATGCTCGAATTTCATGTAAACAAAATAATGTATTTCACAGGCATTGTTTACGTCGCTATTAGTCCCATATCGAACAGGATGTGGCGCGACGACCACCGCCCTTTAAGCCTTTGACGTGTCATGTGATATGTGTACAGTAATAATACATAATAAGTAAGGCGGTGGCGGTATAAGTCAATAATGTTAAAATAGATACAATGGTATACCACATTTAGACTAACTGACAACATTAATGGTTTGCATGAGCTTTCTTATGGACAAGCTACTTCATTTAATACATGAAGTAGAATAATACAGTATTAATATACCTACGATTCACAAGATATTTACATCAAAAGTTTCTTGACAATAGCCAAATATTTGGTTTTGTTGCGTTTTTAGCATATTAGGATGTCCCAAAATCACTGAATCGGGATTTTCTATTTGACTATCGGAGATGAACTATACTATAAACTCAATATTCTGTGTAAAATGTATTCCATCAATTTTCCATTCTCAGCAATAAGACATGAAAATGAATGCCTCAGATTCTTCTATGGAGCCTATGGTTCAACTCAGATTTGACTTTTGCCCACGTCACCGAAGGGCGTTCAACTAACAAGGCACCTTTATGAGAAACTTCGATTAAATTCAAGCACGTGTGTGGGCAACTCCTGTGCGGTCAGGAGATCAACTGGAATTAGAAGTGAATGTGATTACTACCGATAACAGATTATCTTGACAATTTCTTGTAAGTCCAGACTGTAGGATGGTGTTTCATGAATGCGTACGGGCTAATGCATTGCTACTGTGATTACGCGGTTTTCAGACCCGCGGCGTACATGCAACACACAACGCTCTCCGCCCTCGGTTGTAAGACACCCTACGTAATACGATATGGATAAGCACGTGTGTTACTCACCCGAGAGTTGTTTATCTTTAAATCGTTCTCTCGTTCTTTTACGAAGACGACATTTATCAGCAGAGAATGTGAATCTTGCTTTCCTCTTGATTGATGGTGCTTGCATTTCTTCTGGTGAAAGAAAATCACGACACGGGGTGAATATCGGTTAATAATTACAACTAAAAAATGTATGTAACCGTGCATGGGCGACAATATTTCGAATCCGACACAATTCAAAGAATTAATATAACCACAGGGAGCCCAGGAACTATGATCAACTGTACGCACTCC